AAAATAAATAAAGGTAAAAGGAAAAGACAACTGGCTGCAAAAAAGGCGGCCAAGGCATAAGGAAGCTACAACTAATAGTAATTAAAACCCAACAAAATACAATTGAAAATTTCTTTCCTAATTTGCCAATAAAATTCTAAGCAACCAAATAGATTACAGGCATGCAGCTTCAAAAAATTTTCTGACATGTACCCTACATCTGTTTCATTTAACATGTTAATAAGTGTGTGATGGCGATTACCCTGAAGATTTGAAGTCAACCACATGACTCAATCCTGAGTGGAAGAAATGTCTTTGTGGGTGGTAGAAATGATGGAATAATTAGCATCAGCGGGAAGGCATAAAGAGAAGGAGAAATATGCTGAAATTTGAGTTAGAAGAATTCATTTTGAAAAGTACCTTGGAGCAAAAATTATTTCCTCTAATATTTTAATGGGGCAATGAAAAAGTACATATTTCCTTACCAGGGTATGCAAAATAAATATCATGCCACCAACAAAAAGTGAGAATAGGGAATAGAATAAGAATATAAATTCCAAAATATGGAAAATTCAAAGCAGAATGCGAAACAGAGAAAAACCTCAGAAGAAATAAGCCACAACTGACTCTAGATGTCAGTGTTGTGCCGAAGAAGAGCACCCTGGAAGGCCACATCCTGATGGCACAAAGACCTCTACAATCCTGATTTCTGACCAATTCAGGAGGGAAATAGCAGACACTGGACTGGTACAGCAAGCATGTTATGGACTTCATTACCAGAGCACTAAGAAAATATGATACAAATTTTCTTTGAAAGCTAAGTAGGTATAAACAATCTAAAGTACCTGTAAGCATGCTTCTGTTATTAAACATAAATTATAATGTATTGTGTTTATTTCATTAAAGTTATTTCCTTTAAACTGGCATTAAATTATTTAAGCATATTCTTTTTATAACCAAGATATAATTTTTAAATACTTTAGGATTCCTTTGGAAGCATTTTACACTGATGGCTTAAATCAGTGATATCAAACCTTTCTGAAAACATGTGCCCAGAAAAATAAAAAAGGTAGAGGATGAAGCATACTTGTGTGTACATGTGTGCATGTATATGTTGTACAGGTGCAAGTTGTGTATAGCATATGCATGTGTATATATGTGTTTGTATCTTATACACAAAAACAAATAAAATAATGGTATAAACAGCAGCATAAATAGAGATGTAAATTTTTCTTCCTATAATTCAAAAATAAATTTTCTGTGTGCCAAGGTGCACACCCTCATTTTGAGTCTACTGGCTGAGGTGAAATAAATGAACTTCTGAACCAGATGGCAAAAAAAAGGGCAAATACTAATTCCATCTAGATGAACTGAAGGAGTGCTGAATTAGATCATTTACTTTTCATTCTGGCAATCATTACATTTTGGCACTTAATTCCAGGGCTGAAAAGACACTGCTCCTTGTGTTAACTAACCAAGAGACAAAAATCCCTAAGATAAACTAGTATTAACTTCTGAGTATACATTTTCCAATGTAAGCAAGGACTGTGTTTCAAAGATCACTTTCCCAAAGAAAGGAGTTCTGTTCCCCAGCTCATATAGAAGAGTGCCTGGTGCGTGTATACCATTCGTGCTTTCATGCATCCATGTAGCCAACCAAATTTATTGAGTGCTACACTTTTAGACAAAGCGTACTCTGCATGCTATCCTTGGATTACAATGAACCCGCGCTATGCCTACCCGCACTGTATCCGCGCCTTCATACTTTGCATACGCTGTTCCCCTCTGTCTGGTAAAATGCTTCCAAGACTTCAAACACAGCTTACTAGTGCACACAAGGCCCTGGATACAATCCTCAGCACCGCAGAAACAAAAGACAGAAAAACAGCACAATGCCACTTCTAGCACAAAACCTTCCCCAGATCAACAGTTAAAGGATCTTTCCTTCTTGAAACACCCAGTATTTTGTCGTATTTCTCTTCACATTACCCTGCCATTGCCTGTTACATCTATCTTCTGGGTTTCAAGACTAAAAGCATACTTCCCATTTATATTTGTCTTTTCATTGCCTGGTACTTAGTAGGTCCTCAAATGCCTTCATATGAATACAACTGAACAATGGTTCTATTTTTATTTAATCTTTTAGAATTTCCATGAGAAGTGTAGCATACTTCACTTTCTAGTCATTGACTCTAACCCCCTCCATAAAGACTGTATTCACTGAATCTCTAAAATGTTAATTTTTTTTTTTTTTTTTGCTATCTGAATATCCAGAATTATCACTGGAAGGGATAAAACTGTAGCTTTCCCTTAAGATTTGAGTTTCCCACAACAGTGAAAAGAAAATAAAATTGAACCAACCTATCTTAGTTTGGGTTGCTAAAACAAGCTGCCACAGACTGGGGGGCTTATAAACAACTTCTTGCAGTTCTGGAGGACTGGAAATCTAACATCAGGGTGCTACCCGGCTGGATTCTGATAAGGACCATCTTCCAAGATGCAGACTGCTCACTTGTTATATCTTCACACTGGCAGAGAGCAGAGAAGCAAGATCTCTCAGACCTCTAATAAGGACACTAATCACATGTATGAAGGTCCTGACCTTGTGACCCATCTAATCCTAGTTAACTGCCAAAGGCTCTCACCTCCTAATTCTATTGGGGTGGGGGGGAGTAAGAAGAAAATGGACCAACAGATGTTCTAGTACCTACAAACCCTACTTTCTAGGCAAGAGCTCCCCAAAACCACATACCAAAATATATTAATGGGACTTTCAAAATAAGTGATTTCCTTTTCATACTATATAAGACGAGAGAAGCTATGTCTCTAAGGTGTCAAGTCACATAAAACAATGGAGAATGCACTTTCAGACAGTTAAAATGCAGAATGAAGATTTCAAATTCTGATTTCTGAGTTAAGAGTTTTAGGCAGACCTTGACAAATATTTCAATCTGAAGAACAGTGAACAAGTATAATCAATATAGCCACAATTTTTTTAAAAAAGGAATAGAACAGGATAGAATGTAATAATCCTAATATTTATCAAATACCAAAAGCAAGACAGACATGATCTGGCACTGTTCAATACATTATTTTATCCTCACAATAAACCTCAAGGTAGGTATTAACCCCCTTTTTTGCAGATGAAGCTCTGAGATAACTGAGAGACCCAGAAACTCACATTTCAAATTCAAACAGGGGTCATCTCTAAAATTCCATGCTCTTCCATGAAACAGACTGCTAAAGTCCTGTTTATTTCTATTTAGACTGATGAGAGCCTTGAGACTAAACATGTCTAATTTAACCAGACCAATGACCCTGGGAGAGAATGAAAAGGTTGCCAAAGAGCCACACCTCTCCAAAAGCATAGGCCTAAAATGTTTCATAGGAGAATCCCACCAAACTTTCAAAGAATGAATAAACAACAAAACATTCCCCCCCAAAAAAAAAAAAACCATTCCCAATTATTTTTTAAAAATTCAACAGAACACTGACACCCAAACAAAGGTAACACCCTCCAGAAAAATAAAGATTAAGCACAGACTATCATTTATCAACAATATTAATGATTATATATTTTTAGAATTTTTGTAAATAGAATCTAGTAGTGCATTAAAAGATGATCCAAGTCCAAAAATAATATAATGGCTATATATTAAAAGAGAAGTATTGATTTAATGAGTCAAAGGAAGAAAAAAATATGACCATCTCCGTATATTAAAAACTCAGATGGCAAAATTCAGTATGAATTCCTAATTTTTTAGGCTCTTTGTAAAACGGGAATTTTAAAAATGTATCTCAAATGAAACAGTGATCTCAAGTGAAAAATATTTCAAATTGAAATATTTTCATTAAAGTCACAAACAAAAGTTTCTACCTTTTTTTTAACATTAGAAAGCAAACCACCACTATAAAAGTGTAACCTTCTCTCCATACATTTAATGGTGGTTGGTAAATGTTCAACAACCAGCTTATAGAGGGGAGAGGGTATTTGTGGTATTTGCCAAACTCCATGGTGTAAACATTCCCATTGATATCAAATGTAATACCGGCCATATTTAACAACCAGTTTGCTAAATCCCTACCAATGTAATAATTAGGTGCCATGAGCCAGTCTGAGCCAGCTCCAGCACACCACAGCTTACATCCAGAAAATGATGAAGATGCCTATGTGCTGATATGGAAAAATTCCCAACATACGTTTAAGTGGAAAAGGCAACTAAAGTACTTATAATGGGCTGCTTCAGCTTGTGCATAGACTTAACTTCTGAAGAATATTTAATATAACCTGAAAAGACTGTGGAACTGGGATGGATGAGAAACTTTGCACTGTATAGTCTCTTATAAGCTATTTGAACTATTTTTACTATGAATCATTTTGTATAAAAATTACAACTTTAAAAAATCATGTCATTAAATTTTCATTTTTATAATATAAATCTTGTGTTAATCAAGTATTTTTCCTTTTTATTTTGGGTAGTTAACCAATTCTTTGGGGTACTTAACCAACTAGATTTAACAACCCCTAACCAAGACTGGGTCAGTAAACCAAAGAAACTGAAATCGGGATGATACATTGTTGCATTTTCTTTTTTCAAGTTAATCTTCACAATAAAATCCATGCGGTTCAACTTCAAGACATTTGCCCAAACAATTACACAAGTCATCATTTCACCTTCAATTGCTTTTGTTAAAAAATAAATACTGGGAAATGAAATTGATCAAATTATGTCATGTGCATGTACAAATGCGACATAATGAATCCCACTATGTGTAATTATAATGCACCAGTAAAAATTTTTTTTAAAGAAATTAAGTCAAGTAGGCAGGCAAAACACACTCAGCTTTAATATAGGCCAGTATTCATGAACTCACACGCATGATCACTTTGCACCTCCCAGACCTCAGTTTCACATAGAACTCATCAGGATCTAATTAGTGATGTGGAGAAAGGAAGCAATAATAGAGTGCTACAGAGCAGTCTGCAAAATTTATAGGTCACTAAAGGTCACCCATAGCAACAAGGTTTCTTGTCTGGAGTTTGCAATGTGTCACATGCTGGACTCCTTAGACTCCACAGGCAGCTCCAAACATCCACCATCAAGGAGCTTGTTTCAATCCTTAGTGGAGACTGCCGTCTTGTCCAGTTTGACTTCCTCTTGATTTTCAGTGTCAGAAACACATGGAAATAAGATTTGTGGTTACACTAATGTTTCTTCCTCCTGCTTTTCCACCTCCTGCTATGTCAGGAAGTAGCATTAAAGTTCTGTCAAGTGGTTGCCCAACAGGACACAGGAAACCAGAACCTTACAACCTGATGACTAGTGAGACCAATGCAGAGAGATGGAGCCTAGGTTTAATTACACAGGGAGCAGCACTGAAACAAAGTCAGGTTGCTGAATTCCCAAGGAGGACATTTACTAGATTTTATTCACTGTATAACATATACATGATAAATAGGCACTCACGATTCAAGCAGTTTTTGCTTTACCAAGACTAATAGGAATGTAAAAATGATGAAGCAAGATAAGAGAAGGTATCTGTTCTAACTTTCTTCCTTCCCTCCCATGTCTAAAGAGTTCCCATTTTTCCCCACCATCAACACAAATCTAAAACCACAAGGTAGTTAAGCATTCAATCTGAAAGGCTAAGGCACTTAGGAAACAAAAATAAGGACAAGAAAAAATTAAGGCACATGTAAATAGTAACATAAACCCATATAGCACTCATGGTTGTAAGAAATGTAAGCACCGTTCCTTAAGATAAAGACTTCATGGGCCTGGGGTTGTGGCTCAGTGGTAGAGTGCTCACCTACCACATGAGAGGTCCTGGGTTCGATCTTAAACACCACATAAAAACAAATAAACAAAATAAAGGTACTGTGCCCAACTACAACCGAAAAGTAAATATTTTAAAAAAAAAGACTTCATGATATCTAATAACTATGACACCTGCAAAGTAGTAATGGATTTCTTAAAATGTCTGCCAGCTGTTAAAGAGTTTTTTAAGAATGGCTAAACTAGACCACAAAACAGAACTAAAGATTTTTAAGAATTAACATGTATGATTTATACAACAAATAATTTTTATATTATGTATTTTAACTTATAAAAATATAAAAGAGAGACTTAAAGCCAAAATTTCCAAGATGATCTGAAATGCAAAACACATTAAGCTAAAACTATGAATTCATGTGACATTAGGTCACATTAAATGCCAGAAATCATAATAAATCTGCAGTGATATGAAACAAGCCCATTTCTTCTAAAATAATCTTCATTTAATATTGCTGAAGAGCAAAATCATGAAATAAAATCAAATGTTACTCAAAGAAATTATATATTTATTCTCAAAAGAGAAAAACAGGTAATAACTACTATCTTTTTTTTTTTAGTCTGGGACAAGAAATGAAAAATGCAAAACAAAACAGGCATGGCATTCAGCAAGTACAGATGAGCAGATGAAAACGCATCATTTATTGACCAATAAATAAATGGTTGAAGCTCCATTTAAAACCAGAGGATACAAACACATTTTAGGCTTTCAACTTCAAGTAGGCAGGTCCAGCTGAGTATTAATTATTTTCACTGCAAGAGAGTACAAGAGTTCTATAAAAATCAACATTAAGATGAACATTAACCAAGGTGATTTTTTTTAAACATTTAATATTTAGTTGTAAGTGGACACAATACCTTTATTTAGTTTTTAATGTGGTGCTGAGGATCGAACCCAGTGCCTCACGCATGCTAGGCAAGAGCTTTGCCTCTGAGCCACAACCCCAGCCCCGCCAAGGTGATATTTTAAATGAGATAACAGTTTTACTTTAAACTCCAGCCTATTTTAAGAAACATTAGACACTGTTTAATTGTGACCAACTCTGGGTAAGATTTGGTCTGACCGTACTTACCATTTTCCACATAGGGATGAAAAGGAAGGACAAGGGCAAGAATGACTCTGCCTCTAGTTGGCTCCAAGACACTTCTGATATCTTTTAACAAAGTCAGAGGCTGATCACAGCGGTCCAGCAAATTCAAGCAGCTGATGACATCATACTGAAACCCCGTGTTCTGCCATTCATTGATTCCAAGCACTCTAGAAAAACATCAGAAAGAACTTGACTAATATTTCTTGCTTTGAAGACGTCTTTTAAAAATAATTTAAGATGCCAACAAAGGCTCTAATTTTGTCTTCCAAATCAAAGTAAACTCAAAATATTCACTTATAATTTATATTTGCAAAAATACAAAGGCCAGACAAGAGACAAACAGCAACCATGTTTCTTTAAATTTACCATTTCTCTTATTAACAAATACTAAAAACACACAGAACTTCCTTTATAAGAACTAATATGTTTAATAAGAATGAAGACAAAGTAATAAAAATTACTTCTCTTCTCCAATGAAAGAACAAAAGAATGAATCTTACTTTTTAACATTCACTAGCAGTGAATCATAAAAAAATATATATACTCCTATTTTCTATTCCAAGGGTCCTTCCTATACTAAGAATGGAGTAGTATAAAATAGTAACCTAAAATCTTTTCATCATATCCATTGCCAAGAGACAATTTCATACTCTAGAATCTTCATGTCTAAATAACTACTCAGAAAAACATAAAGCACAGGACATCCTCATAAAACTATAAGTGAACAACATGGTTGGAAAATCTCACCTACCCCCCCACCCCCCCCACCTCCCCCACACACACCATTTTTAGTCTTTTACAATGTTTATCTACAGAAAGGGGAAGCTTTTATATCAAGTCTTTGATAACCTGGGGGGTGAAGTTCTAAATATCTTAAGGTGACTGATTTCTAATGTAATAAATCATGCAGGAAACACAGTCTGCATGATTTCAAATTAAAAAAAAAAAAGTAATGGAGATGCTTTTTATATTGATTGTATTGATTACATACATGTCAAAAACCGATCAAATTTCATAATACTTCAAATATGTGCATTTTATTGTCCTTCAATTTTACCTCAATAAAGCTATGAGAAAAAAAGAGACAGAGTCTTTGCTAACCAAATCACTGAGTCAATTCTATAAACTACTTACTCCTGCCTGCTTACACCAGTCAGAATATGGCAAGTAAAACATGTTGAAATAGAAATAGGTGAAAAAGGAAACAGATAAAAAGATCTGTGGAAAACAAGTCTTTAATAATGCTGAACAAGGAGGTATCTTAGAAAATTCTAAAAGTATAATGAGGGTTATTTTAGAAACATTACTAACAATGATATTTTATAGCATTTCTGAATAGAACAAAAGGAACATAAGTCACTCAGTTATATCTTTTTTCAATCTATATTTTTATAAAACAGAGTTACCTCTAAACAGGTCTAACTTAAAAGTAACCAGTCATATTCCTTTGTTATACAAGTGTTGTTGGTGGTGGTTTTTTGGATTTTTTTAGGTTTGGGTCTTTTTTTTTGGGGGGGGGGGGGCAGGGGGTACCAGGGATTGAACTCAGGGGCACTCAATCACTGAGCTACATCTCCAGCCCTCAGGATCTCACTGAGTTGCTTAGTGCCTCACTGTTATTGAGGCTGGCTTTGAACTCCTGCCTCAGCCTCCCGAGCCACTGGGATTATAGGCATGCACCATTGTACCCAGCCTATTGTACAGGTGTTTAATTGAACTAAATATTGATTGAAATAAATAGAGCACTAGGGCTTCAAAATCATTTTGTTTTACTGAGATTAACTGCAATAATGATTTTATAAACTTGATTTATGGCATTAAAGAATAATTTCAAAATATTACTGTAAAGATTATAGTTTTAGGATAAAATTTCCAACAGTTCTGATTTTAAATACTGAAATGAGCAATTAAAAAGATAAATTATATACTTTATTTAAAAAGAAACTCACATGTATAATGAATCAGAAGCCAAATACCATCAGCATGTTGTAATCTAGAATAATTTCACTAAATCCATCCCAGAATTAGTTGTAGATAGGTAGTTTCCATATGAAAGACAGAAATATATTCTCTTAACAGAAAATTAAAGTTTGAATGCTGAGATGGTTAAACCTATACCTACACTAGCTCAAATTTATCCTTATTTGGGTGTGTGTTTGTTTAGTTTTGGGTACCAGGAATTGAAACCAGGGGCACTTTACCACTGAGTTACATCCCCTGCCCTTTTAATTTTTTATTTTGAGACAAGGTCTTGATAAGTTGCTGAGGTTAGACTTGACCTGGCAATCCTCCTGCCTCAGACTCCTGAGTTGCTGGGATTACAGGTCTATACCCAGTTATACCAGACATTATTATATTTATTCCTTCCTTCCATAGAGAATCACACTAAGTATCTGTTTAGTATAATCTTCCCTTCCATTGCCTCCTACTTAGTCTTCCCATTCCCTGGGCTAAGGAGTTCTATGTTTTGCAAATGTTCAGTCCAGTCCTGCTCCAAAAGGTACACTGATGCTCCATGTCTAGTGTTAGTCTGTAAAAAGTAGAAACGTGGAAATAGCAAAGTAAGTGATTACACATTTTTCTTTTTTCTCTCCAAGGCTAAGCCAGGCTTCCAAAATACCATAGAGGAGGCCATGTCCAGCTCCAGCTCCTCCATTCTATACCCAGCCAATACACAGAAATCTCCTAACAAAAAGAATCCATACTGAATAAAGATTGCGCTTCTTCCTAAGTCTCTTAAAACTAAGATTTGACACTTCCTATGCATCATTACTGATGGCTGTTATTAAAAAACAAAATAGAAAATAGCAATAATTGTCAAGGATGTTAATAAACTGGAACCCTTGAACACTGTTGATGAGAATACAAAAATGGTATAGCTGCTATGGAAAACATATGGCAAATTTTACAAAATATTAAACATAGGCTCACCATTTGACCCATCAATTCCACTTTCAGGTATATATCCAAAATAAGTGAAAGCAGAGACTTTAATTGATATGTTCACACATTTTCATGCATTACTCACAATGCCAAATGGTAGAAGCAACCCAAAAGTCCACTGACAGATGAATGGCTAAAGAAAGTATGATATGTGCATACAATGGAATATTATTTAGTACCAAGAGAAATTTAGATACATGCTACAACACAGATGAACCATGAAGACATTATGTTAGGTGAAAAAAGTCAGGCACAAAAGACAAAAATATGATTCTTCTTATATGAGGTACCTAGAATAGTCACATTCAGAGACAAAGTAGAATGGTAGTTGTCAGGGGCTGAAAGAAGGGAAGAAAAGGGAGTTACTGATTGATGGGCACAGAATTTCATTTGGGGAAGATGAGAAAGTTCTGGGGATGGATGATGGTGATGTTTGTGCAACAATTCAAATGTACTTAATATTAAACATACAAAATATTTGTGATTATGAGATTCTGATTAGGGAACAAGTCTCTACATCTAACGTGCCTTTTCCAAGCTTTCTCATTAGTCCTTTTCCTTCCTCTGCTCCAGAAAAATACTGCTATGGAAAGATTATTTCCTCTCTAAATTTCCATTTAATTGTATATGGAAATATATTATATTTTAGTTCCTAATCATGGAAAATGATTTCTGATCCTTACCCCTTAAATAACATACTTTCAAGAAGAAATACATCTGAAACCAAGAAGTATGTCCCAAACCATGTCTAGAAATAGTACCTGTATTTCTTCTTCTGAAGTTGCCATATCATAGTTTCAGAGAGTTCAGTGGCATAGATTTCTTCAAAATGAGGGCTCATGATTTTTGTGACTTCTCCATCTCCAGCACCTAAATCAAGAAGTCTGTGGGTTTTCCAGTCTGGATTAATTTTAAGCAGTCTCTGAAACTGATCTGGTGAGAATACAAACATTGAACCTCTTCCTAGCAACCTGAAAAAAAAGGACAAAAATGGAAGAGTCTATGCAAATTAAACCCAATATACATGAAAAAGTGAATGTAGTGACAACCCTTTGAATTTATAAAAGTTTTATGATTAAAATATCTTTTATATGACTTATAAGATTAAAAAGAAAATAAATACAGATAGCATTTGTCTTTAGAGTTGTAAATAATACACTCAAAGGCATGGGAAAAGGAAAAGGGAGGAAGGGAATAGATGAAGGAATGAATAAGAAATTGAAAGATGAATGTGAAGAATTTAAGTCAAAACAGGAAGGAAAGGCAGAAGGAGTAACAGAACATGTTTATCAGTTAAAAAGATGACGGGCTAACAGAATCATCCCCAACACTATGCAGAGAAATCAAGTAGGAAAAAAGGCCAGTTGGAAGATGGAACTAAACAGTGGGTGAAGGGGAAAAATTAGCTTTTGTACAATAGTTTTAAAAGAACCTTAAAAAAAAAAATAGGAAAAGAATGGTCTTTGTGACATCCGTTAATCTGCATTAAAGAAGTAGATTCGTATTTGTTTAGGTTTATGTTTTACAGTTGGCTTGGTCCTGTTATTTCCAAAGGTCCTAAAACACATTCCCAATAGTAATAGTGCCTTTGAAAAAAAGAACCTGAGAGGAATGAGAATGGAGATCAAAGAGAACCCATGGAAAAGCAGCCAAGTCTCCTGGAAGCACCACTTTGGGAAATACAACGAACTCCATATTTAGAACCTGACCTCTAGCTCTCAAATCCTACTTTGTCTGGGGAAGGAATTATCCAACTTCCTTTAAGCAGAAGAACCTTTTCTTTAAATGAAGTGGCACTAATATACAGTATAAAATGGCAAGAGAGCTGTTGCTGATGCTGCTGGCAAGAGGTTGAGAGCCCTGGAGCTGCCATCAGCCCACTTCTGGGATTTTCTTTGCAACCTGAAGTAACTCCTGAGGCACTTCTTCCTCACACCCTGGAAAGCATACTGAAACTCACTGGTCTAGGACACAGCAAGGAAATCCCTACTGCCACTTTCTCCAATCAGAACACAAAAATATGTTTGCTACATAGTGACTGAAAAAGCGCATGCAACAGCTTACTTGAGCCAAGACCAGTTTCAAAAAAAAAAAAAAAAAAATGGGGAGGGAGTTCATGTAACAAATTCCCCCTCCTTTTTTCCTATTAAGGCCTCAGAAGAGTTAAATTTAATAATTTAATAAGAGCTAATTTAAGGCCACCAAATTTAATAATACATTTACAGTAAATCTGGCCCAGAGAAATGCTCAAAGTCTGGGGAGTGGGGAGGAAAGACCCCAGAGACAACCAACCATGATGTTATAAATTACAACCACTTACCAGAGAAGGATATCTCAAAAAAAAGACAAGCTGTTTTTAATCCTCTACTGTTCTTATCTTCTAGTGGAAATACATGCATAGCTGAGAAAAGGGACTGAACCTGCTGAAATAGCTGCAGGAACTTCACGCAGGCCCCGGAGTCAAAAAAGGAAGAGGCTACAAGCAGCATGACTTCAGGAGGCAGATTTTAAATCTTGATGCTGATGGCACAGGACCAAAGTAACTGCACAAAATAGTTATTTTGCATAAACTTTCCCAGCTATAAAACAACATGCTTTCCAGGCCATCTTCTTGGGATATGAGAAATACTGTCAGGATACCCATCAAATTCTAGAACTGGAGGTCATCTGAGGTCAGAGTTGATAAAGTCATCTGACTTACTGACTTATCTACATTTAAGGGCACTAGAGAGAGAGGGGAAGCACTGTTCTATTTCCAAAGATCAGCAATATGGCTTTAAAAGATTAAAAGTCAAGTCCATCCAGCCCAATGTTATTTACCAGGACCAACTTTGCCTATTAGGGGCAGTGGGGGAGTTTCAGTTGCAGTGACTTGGAGGTATTAATGTCCTTTAGTAAGCAAGGCCAGAAAAGTTACACTCCCTACAATGTGTGGGGAAGTCTAACATAATAAAAAAATTGTCCCATCTAAAATATCAAGACACTTAGTCTGGTACAAGTTTTCTGGTAAACACCATGAAAGAGATGTGGCTCTCTAATTTACCTCTGACTTTAGTCTTTTATATCCCTCCTAGGTTCTCTGGCCTCAATCCAAGTTCTCTCTCGATTTGGAGTCTTTAGAGGAGGTCTGCCTCTTGCAAAATAAACTCTGAAAACAGCAAGTATCTCACTATTTGGCCTTCTCCTTTCTACCATAGAGTTAGTTTGATAAGAACTTTAATTCAAGACAGTACTACCATAATTATTTATTTCTGTAAGAGGCAGTCACTTGTAATAATCTACCATTGCCATGGGTGGAAAGTACCAAGAAACTCAAAATTAAGTTTTTTGTTGAGAAGAGAACACAGGGCAAGAGGGATCTGCTGGCAGGGAGGTAGTGGGTTAAAAAAATAATAATCAAAAGTAAAGAGCATAATGAGCCAGGCAGATGGCACATGCCTGTAGTCCCCGCTATTTGGGAGGCTGAAGCAGGTAGATGGCTTGAGCCCAGGAGTTTGAGGCCAGCCTGGACAACAGGAGAGACCCCATTTCAAAAAAACAAAATAAAATAAAAGAGAGATAAGAGAAACCAAAGGGGTTTATTAATTGCATTGCCTCTTCGATCAAACTGTAAAAATCTACAGCAGGGAATTTTAAAAAGGTTCCAACAAGTAGAGGAAGAGGGAAGAGATTCAGAGTTTGAAAACCCCCAATTTACAATAAAAAAAAATTAACTACTTTTTGAGGACAGGATTCCTACCTTTCATACTTTCAAAGAGCTACAAGGACTCCTAAAATAAGAATATCTGCTACAGTGACTCATCTAATGTCCCAAGAAAGAATAAATGGCATAGGACAGAAATTCAGTACAACCAATTTTAGGAACAAAATGTCAGACCAAGTTGTATAAACTCAACTCCCAATACAAAAATAACAACTGTTTGCTGAAGCAAATGTAAGGCAATTTCACACAAGCAATAAGAAAGAACATCAAATAAGAAATCTTGAGAAGTGGCTTGCAGTGCCTGAAAACATATTTAAGGACCAGATGACAGACTGGGATCCAGACATTCAGCAGAACTTGGCTCCAAACCTCAAGGGAAAAGAAAAGTGGGCCCAACCAGTGACTTCAGTGGTCCAATAAGGCTTTTTTAAGTATCATGCCCTGTTGCTTTTCTCTTTGGCTTTCTGAATTCTAAGACCTTGGGGATGTTTGAAAATTTGGATTCAAAAGGATAAATAATATTCCTAAATCCTTTTCTGTGGATTCATATGGGGGAACCAGTCTGGGAATACAGAAATCCACATTAAGTTTACAAAATCCTGGTGAGCCCAGACATTATGTAAGAACAAATGTAAGACTCTTCAAAAAAACCATCATCCACTGTTAGGCTGAGAAATTAGAATCCCCTTTAAAAAAAAAAAAAAAAAAAAAAAAAACTCTGGGAACTGTGTTTAAGGCTAAGGTCTTGCTCTTCAGCCTAAGGGCTTAAGGAGATTTGGTTCTAAGGGTCTTGCTACTCTGAAATGCACAACTAGCAGGCTGCAGCAGCATCACTGGCATCACCTGAGACTTGCTTAAACTGCAGAATCATAGTCAGGCACAGTGGTGATGTCTATAATCCCAGCTACTTGGAAGACTGAGGCAGGAAGATCATAAGTTCAAAGCCAGAGCCTCAGCAACTTAAGGAGACCCCATCTCAAAATAAAAACCAAAAGGGCTGGAGATGTAGCTCAGGTGGTAAAGCACTTGCAGAGCATAATGCCCTGAGTTAAATCTCCAGAATCATACACAAAAAGCAGAATTTCAGGCCCCTCCCAGACCTACTACTACCTCTTATTCTACACGTTAACAGACCTCCCAGGTGGTTTCTATGGACATCAAAGCTGTGAATATTGAATTAAGTGACTCTTGCCATAGAGTTATACTCTTGCCATAGGGCTATTCACCAAGTTATAGTGAATTTTAAAAGCAAAAACACAGAAAGCCTGAACAGTGGACCTACTGCGGAGGATTTTGGCAAACAAAAATAACGCAGCTGAGACAGTCAATTCTTTGAACAAGATAACTTTCTTTTTTCACTTTTCCTTTTTTAAACCTAAGGATAAAGAAAAACAAAATGTCCAAGATTCACTTACCCATTGATAGATGTTCTAGACATAAACAGGCTAAAAACAGATGACACAAAAGAATGATATAATTGGATAAATAGCCAGCCCGATTTCTCAATGCTGTTGTTTAAGAAGATCTGTGTTCCTTGATCAAGGTAACTCTGAACAAAGACAGCCTGGAGTGATTCACATAATTTCTCTCTGTTGCACACATACCACTAAAAAACAAAACAGAACAAAAAAGAACAAAAAAGAACAAAAAATTAAAACACACAACTGAAGTATCACCTAAGAAAATCAAAAACAAAAAACAGAAGCTAAAATCAAATCTAAGATTTCCAAATACTATAATCTCATGATGGTACTTTTGAGGACAATCATCATCTTTAATACCCATATTGCCTATGAAGCATAAAATACATTTCAGACATGACCTCTCAATTCTCATTATAAATCCTCAAGGCAGGTGGGAAGGGTTAAGGGAGGGTAAGGCTTGCATGTCGTGCAGAGCCACAGGAGGCAGAACCGGATCATCAGCCCGGGTACTCTGACTCCTGGCCCAATGCTTCCTTCACTGAGATCTAGAAGAGCTATGCTGGCCTTTCCTTCACGAGAGTCAATTCAATTTCAGAAGGCAAATAGCTAGCATTGTTAATCTTGTTTTCAGATAAGAAAACAGCCACATAGTGCAAAGATTTAACTCAAAACCACTAAACATATCAGTGACAGTAGGCAGGAGAATTGAACACTCAGTGGCTACATTAGATTGTCCATCGTCTTGTAGGCTACACAGAAGAGACCTTTAGAAATCTTGAGGTTTAATAACAGAGCATATGGCATCCTTAGAGATGGGAACAAATGTGCTTAAGAAAGATGAAGAAATTACTTAAGGTCATACTGCAATCAATGAGAAAACCAAGTAACAACAAGCGAAGAATCAAATTTCCAGGAATAGGCTCTAGCCAAATTATACTTTTTAGAACAAAATTCAAGAATTTCAACTGTAGATAACACTCCATTAATAAATGTTTTCTGTTTCACTGAGAAATAGTGGCAGAGGAAACTCTACGTGAGACTTAGTGTCAGCCCCACAATCAAGTCCTGGCTCTGCATTTCTAGGTGAGCTCAGACAAGTCACTTAATCTGAGTCTTTATTCATTCACTGGTAGACTACATATGCCACTACTATCTATCTATCCTGGTAGGGGACTATTAGGGTTAAACAACATAAAGCAGGCATGTACCCAATACAGCACAAGCACATGGGCGAATTCTATGATAACAGCAGCAACGAGATTCTTCAAATGGCCTGATAAATAAGAGTGAGCCTATTAAGTATAGTGATGAAACTGCAGAGTACACCAGTTATTATTAATCAATTATTTACTATGAAACCACCAGTTTTTCTCAAATAGGAGTCTATTGGCCAAAAAAATAAATTGCTTGCCCTTGACAAATGTGACCATTTATCAGCAGTAGGCATCCTGTAACTTGTTGCACAATGGATGAACCAAATTTATAGTCATCCTAAACTTGCTTAATGTTGAATGAAATCTTGGGTAACATCCCTGACACTAACATTAAAAAGAACCAGTTATAAAACAACAAAAAGAAGGATCAGGCACATTAAACTTCAAAGATTCATCATTCGACAAACTTTGTAACCCAAACCAGATACACCAAACCTTTTCAGTTGTTGACTGATTTGTGTTAATTTACCATTTAACCACTGTTACCAAAACCACTTGGACTTCATACAAAACTTTATTTTCCCCACCCTACAGAGCAAGTTATGAAGCTTCTTGTATTAACTGCCTACGCTCTTTTCCTTGGCCTGAAAATGTTCTTGCTTAATCATTTACTAAATCTTAATACTTACTGGGCCTGAAGTCATGCCCCAGTGCAGGTCGTAAACCATTTTTTATTATACTCGTGATCTCCTGGTACACATTCTGAACTCTGTAATATTGAGGCCATGCTACCTTTTATTTATTTTTTATGCTCTGAAATGACTAATCAAGATGAAAACCATTACTTTGATAATAGGCAATCAAGTACATTCTATTAAAGTGGACAAGTAGTTCAACTGAAACTGAGAAGCAAAGAATTCCTTAGTATCCACTTAAAAATGAACAACTAAACCATCATAACAATGGCCTCTGACTTCCAGAACTAATCAAGAACTGGCACCATTAACTGCAAATATTGCTGTCAAGTGCCAAGAAGAAAACTTTTTAATGACATATTTCTCATCAACATTAATACATGTAAGTTGAAACTTTACCACCACACAAGTCTTTCAAAAAAGAAGCTGCTTCTTAAACCGAATGTCATACAGAATAAAAAGAAGTTAAGCTCTTTAAAGTTGAAATCTATGTCCTTTCTTGTACCATCTGTATGATACAAATGTCAAGTCACAGCAGTGTTATTCAAAATTGCCAAAAAGCTAAAACAACTCAAATGCCCATCAGGGATGAGTAAACAAAGTGGTAGATCCATACAACAGAATAATATCAACCATAATAAGGAATAAAGTTCTAATTTGTGCCCTGACAAAGATGAACCTTGACAACCATGCTAAATGAACTAAGCCAGTCATAAAAGGTCACATACTACCTAATTTTGTGCAAAACATTTATAGTATGCAAATCCAGGGACAGAAAGTAGATTTTTAGGGGACAATAAAGGCAGGGAATGAAAGGGAGTATCTGCTAATGGGGTACAGACTATTTTATTTATTTATTTATTTATTAATTTTGGAGAGGGGAGTGGGGATAAAATTAGATAGTGGTGATGGTTGTGCAACTCTGTGACTATATCAAAACCACTGAATTATACATTTTAAAGGGACAGATTTTATGGTATATGGATTATATCACAGTAAAACTGTTTTGCTTTGTTTTAAATAGCATAACCCCCCCAACCACACACACACACACACACACACACACACACATATACATCTAAATGTAGGTGGCAGTTTGATCTTCCAGAAATTAAAAGTGGTCTGGAAACATAAATGACCTAGCAAACCTCTTTTAAAATGCAAATCTGATTATGTTGCTACCCTGCTTCACAGGAGTCTCAGAATAACATCCAAAATATTCAATAAGATATACAAGGCCCTACAGGATGTACATCCACTCTGTGTTCATAGCCTTACCTCATGGCATTCCCTGCCAGCCTATGACACAGGGTCCTCTACATTTTTTTTTCTTTTTCTGGAAAGCTCCTTTACAGTGGCTGTCTCACCTGCTATTTGTTCTGCCCCTATATTTCCCACCATCCAGCTCATTGCCTCTTTACCTGGTTATTTCAAATTCAGCCTAAATATTTTTTCAGGTATGTTTTTCTTCAACTTCCAGAATAGGTAAGCCTTCCCCCATTTTAATACCCTTTCATATACATGCCATGTATCCTTGACAACATGTATGACCTCTGAATTAAGTAACTGTACACCAACTGCATGTTCAGTGTCTATCTTTGCAGGTAGACTGGGAGCTTCATAACGATGAAGACAATGACTGATTTCAGAGCCTGGCGCAGATACAAACAAGCAATGTCTGTTAAATGAGGCATTGCTAAGAATCACAGGCAGTCTAAATAGACAGAATCTGACATTTCTAACAAAATCCTGTGGAAACATAAGGATAATCACGGAGATAGCTGTCACAGCGTTTCTGTCAATTTCTCAACTCCAAGGTTTCTACAAGGCCTTTCTTAAATCCAATTTTGCAAACAGTGGTTAGCTACCCACCCACCACAAAATTGCACCACCACAAGCAAACAAGCAAGATACTGACTGAGCACCCATGTGTGCCAGGCACCTGGCCAAGCTCTTTAAACTCCATTTACCACCTGGTAACTACTGAACAACTAGGAAGCCTGGGGTCCTGAGCAGCTTCAGCTGACTCTAGCTTCCAATCCAGATACATATGGTTCTAGGAACAAAAATGCCTTTCAGGGCTGGGGTTGTGGCTCAGCAGCAGAGCGCTCACCTCACACATGCGAGGTCTTGGGTTCGATCCTCAGCACCACATAAAAATAGATAAAGGGTATTGTGTTCAACTAAAAAATAAATATTTTAGGAAAAAATACCTTTCAAAGAAGCTATTACTTGGGCTGGGGTTGTGGCTCAGTGGTAGAGTGATCACCTAGCATGCTTGAGGTACTGAGTTTGATGCTAAGCACCACATTAAAATAAAAGATATTGTGTCCACCTAAAACTAAAAACTAAATATTAAAAATTTAAAAAAAGGTACTACTCACCTCTACCCAATATGTCTGCTTAAGAAAGCAGAACTATTCTCTAATTAAGCTGAACTGCACATGTTAAGAGAAAAGATAATCCGATTTAGACAATAACCAAATTCCAATAGGCCAGGAATTTGTTATCCTTGTAGCTGACATTTAGGGCCCGATAATTCTTTGTTATTGGGGCTGAGCATGGTGGCTACAAACATCCTAAGTTTTTACCCATCAGATTTTGGTAGCACTACCCTAAATGACAACTCAAAATGCCCCAGGCATCTGTCCCAGGGCATAAGAACACCTACCTGGGCTTAGTCAGAAAACTTCACTGTCCTGACTCACCAACAGTGTTGCCTAACTCTCCTGGCTCATCTGTGGTCTAGGGACTGTAGATGATTAGAAGGTGAACTTGCTGGCTTCAGGGAACTTAAATTCCAATGGGGAAAATACAATCAGACACCAGAGACTATGATCTTGATCAGGGTCTTCAGAGCTCTAAATGAGGAGTCACCTTGTTCAGGGTCTTCAGAGCTCTAAATGAGGAGTCACCTTGTTCTGGGGCCAACTAAAGAGAAAATCAGTGCAAGACCCCCTGCACCCCAGCCAGTGGTCCCTCTAAAGTCACCTCTCTCCAGACAGCCAGACTTAAATGAAAAGCTGTACAGAGCTCACAGCACTAGGTGGCTGCCTGTGATTTCCTGGGCACTTTCATGCAGGTGAGTTCTTAGAATACACGTTCCTCAAAGGCTACAGAGACAAAGCTGTACAGGCAAGAACAAAGTACTATGCTTATTAAATTCCACACTGTAGGGACTACATTTGCCATCTCTACTGTGGGGCTGGACTCCTCAGCTGGAGACCACAGTGTCTGCAAAGGTGTTCAATTAGCATCTGGCTTTAAAGCTCACTCAAACTGTGTTCAATCTAAATAACCAAGTAAATCTTTTAAATTGAACTAGAATTATTC